TATAGGGCACACAAACCACACAAACACACACACTTGCTAACTGTTCTCCACTCTTTTTGGTTGTGCGTCCGTGAAAGTCAGAATTTCCAACATGGCTCCCAAAGACGCCCCTTTTCCATGTCTAACCCCTGTAAACACAAGTCAATCCTGTGATTACACTATTTTAGATTGACCTTAAAATAGACTGATTATCTCTGTGGGCCAGATATCATCACACAGACTTCAGAAGAAGAGAGATTTCTCACGCTAATAGGAGAGGGGAGGCGAAGCAGGAGAGATTCAAAGAACTAGAATAATATGCCACTCATGCCTTCGAAGGAGGCTACATACAAGGGTTAGAGAGAGGTTTGTAGGAGCTGAACATGACCCCAGGCTGACAGCAAAAATCCTGAATTCTTCCAACAATTGAAAGTTTTAATTTCTTTCCCAAGGCCTGCGGATACTAATCCAGCAGGGCTGACAGTTTGATTTTGGATGTAGAGAGTTGTACTGTTAACCCAAATGGAGCGCCTCTCTGAGGATTCCGGTCTACCAGCGTCTCCACAGGAGAGGCTCCTTTAAGCCTCCAAAAGCCCACTGGAGGGCCAGCTGTGAGGCAATTCTGACCCAACAGCAATGAGTGATTGAGATAGCCTGGACTTTGAAACCATCCAAGCCCTACACCCCTAACTTCTGACCTACAGAGCTATGTGCTATTCAGTGGATATTCTAACCCAGAAGTGCCTCAGAAAAAAGACCTGGTGATCTAACTCTGGAAAAATTAGCCGTTGGTTACCCTATGGAGCACAGTTCTACTCTAGCACCTGTGGGTCACCATGAGTTGAGGCTGAAGGGTGTTAACTTGTTATGCAGTAATGAAAATGAGCACAGAGCCCTCTCTTTGAGCTCTATTTTGCTTTTCCAACTCCCTGAGATAGGAGCTTCTGGTTATTACCAACCCTTGCTTAGATGAGTGGGCCTTAAAGAGTGGACTCATCTATTGTTAGTTAGCCTATTTGTTGTGCCTGTAAAGTTTGGGCTCCTGACTCACAGGTGTTTACATATGACAATCTGAAGGTCACCTGAAGACCAGGGTTATAGCCATAACATAGATCTTCAAGGAGAAGTCTTGGACATCTGCTGGTGGCTGCTGACTTTCTCAAAACAGCAAAAGAATATGGGCATTTCTAGGAGAAAGCTAGGAGCCGGGGTGGTGCAAATAGTTTATGCCAAAGGCTGGCAGTTCACACCCAGCCAGTAGCTTCACAGAGCAAAGGGCCTGGTAACCTAATTCTATAAAGGTTCTTTCTCATTGTCTTCCATTCACTACTGGCTCAGAGCTGCCCTCCTGTTGAGTTTTGAAGGCTGTTAACCACGCAGGAGGAAATTGCCCATCTTGCTCTCAAGGAGCTTCTGATGGGTTTTGAATGGTCAGAGAAGTGTGGCTTTTGGTTTAGTGCAATTCCCTATGGACCAGGCCAGCAGCGCTCCCAATGAAGATAACCACCAGGACAAGTCTGCAGAGCAGACTTGACAATAGCTAAAAACAGCAGAACCATGCTGGGGGTTCTTGGTTCAGACAGCCCTCCAGCTTTCTGGTCGTGGTGGGGGTTTTTGTTTTTCTTCTCACGCCTTCAGCTTTACCTGATATTTCTTGTTAGCGGTGTCAGGCCTCAGGAAGCCTGACTGAGGCATACATGCGTGAGATTGGCATAGAGATACAGACGGTGATGTGGCTGCATGTGAGTGACTCGTGGGACCTGACTGAGCCTGTTAGAACGTGAGAGGAAACCCAAAACTAATGGATCTTCCTGTGGGCGTGAGCATGTGAAAATGCCAATAGAGAACCTCACCTCTCAACGCAAGGCTACCTCTGAGGAATGACTGCACGAGTTGGCATCTTCCTTCAGGCAGGATGTTGGCTCAGCTTCATCTGATAGCTGGCAGCCGGAAGAGCTTGAGGCAGGGGATCCCCACGTTCAGGTTGACTTCCTGAAGCAGCTGAGCGCACTTGAGACAGGGCAAAGGTGAATGAAAGGGGCCAGCTCCATCTCCTGGGTAAACAATCTTGCTCCTAGTGAGGTGATACCACAGGTGGCAAGTAAGAATCAGAAGACTGTGGCAAGTGGTAGATGTGATAAAGAGGGAAGATAACTGTAGTTATGGAGAAATTGGCAGCAGGCCTGTCGAAGGAGAGCTGCCAGGAGCAAAGAGAAGACAGTCGTATTGGGTGGGCTGTGAGGCCGAATGAGAAATCAGTTGATTTCTTGAGTGAAGGGTCACAGGAGGACCTTTATCTCTAGTGAATATCACTGGTGCTTGAAGGGATTCGGGGGGTCCTCATCTTTAGGGTGCAGCATTCTTGACTTGTAACTTTGGCAGTTTGAAACCACCAGCTGCTCTGCATTGGAATTGACTGCTGACCCTTTAGTGGGTTTCTGAGACTGTAAATCGCGGGGGAAGAGATTGCCCATCTTTCTCCCCTGGAGCCCCTAGTGGATTTGAACCAGAGAGGCACAGCCTTTGGGTTCACAGTGCAACGCCCTACAGGCTGCGCCACCAGAGCTCTTTCCTCTAAGAGAGAAGGATGGGAAATTTCCCCTGGTGATGGTTTACAGCCCCAGAAAGCGTTAGAGGGTCACAATAGGTCAGAATGACTTGACGGTGATGAGTCTGAGTTTATGGTTTGGTGCTTGGAAAGGAGAAGGTATGATGGCTCTGATGGGTCCCAGTTGTCACAGAGTCCTCTGTGGGGAGCTGGAGACTGGTTTGGTGGGATAAATGCCAGAAGGCAGCTGTGCTGCTTTGGCACAGGGTGGCACAAGTAGTCAGTTAATTTCTGGTGCTGGAAATTGTCATAGATTGAACTGTGTGTCTACAAATACATGGCTCTAATGGTAAATGTGGAAGCTATGTAATGATTTCCCATGAACCGATAAACCAAGTAGTTGTAAAAGGATGAAGAGTAGAATGCTTCATCCCTTAATGCCTGCAGTCTCTAACTGGATGTAAGAGCAGTTTGCCTAGTGTGTGACCTGCACTAGATTTTATCTACGTTAAAGGAGAGGAAAGAGAGTTGAGATGGGGAACCTCAGTGTCACCAAGAAATAATCACCAGGAGTTGGGTATGTCTCTTTGGACCAGGACCCGGAAAGTCCTTTACAAGGGGGAAGATCCAGGACACACAGAGGTTACCTAGGAACATTTGGCCCATAGAAGCTGAAGAAACAAAGACGTTGTTCTACAACAGACAAAGAGAAAACCAGCCATCCCAATAGAGCTGATGTCTAGACTCTGAAACAATAGGAGAAGAACTTTCTGGTCAAGCGATCCACGTGTGGTATCTTTGTTTACACCAGAGGTTTGAATCTATCAGTGGCTCCACTGATGAGCAGTCCCTTCTGGTTAAGATTTACACCCTAGGAAACCCTGTGGAAGGTTGTTATAAGTCAGAATTGACTCTTCAATGACTGACTGAGTGATATAATCAAGGCAGAATTCATTGAGCAGCAGTGAAGGAAGACTGGATTCTATATGGAGGAAGGAGACATGTGAGCCAGGTGTGCTGATGACTCCAGTAATGGCTGCTTAGTTCCTGAGTGTCTCCAGGACTTGAGGTGACATCATTTGAAACGGTGCTATTTCATGAATGAGCAAGGCGATGTCGTCACAAAACAGACTTGCATATAAACGCGAGCATGTGGTATTTGAACCAAACCTTGTGTTCCTTTCCCACAAAGAATTAGTGAGATCATCATTTAAGGTGATAGAATCAGAGGGACCTGAAATCGATGCTGTTCAAATCCCTTCCAATACCCGAGATCCAGATGAGCTCTCGCTCCAGAAAACATCAGGCTTGATGCTGCTTGTGGGGGTGGCTGGATCGGGCAGGTGCCAGGAGGCAGGAGGATAGGGTCTCGTGGCCACCTTGCTTTTTTCACTTGGTTTGGGCTCCTTCCCATCTCTGGACTCATGACTCCTCTCTAAAGCAGTGAGGTTAGACCAGTTGATTGGCATGATCTTTTTTGGATCTAAAGCCCCAAATTTCTCACCCAGTGAAATATGGTGTGATTGTCTAGCTGTGACTCTGTTCATATTCTTTGTGGAGACTGTTCATATGTCAAGACAGTGCTGTGTCATTTGAAGATTGAGTCTCTGGGTGGTGCAAATATTTAATGTGTTTTGCTGCTAACTAAAAGGTAAGATGGAGCTCACCCAGAGATACCTTGAAAGAAAGGACTGGTGACCTGCTTTAAAAAAAAATCAGCCACTGAAAACCTTGTGGAGTCCAGTTCTACTCTGACGTCAGGCCAAATCGACAGCTAGCTGTCTGTGGGGAGAGCCTGGTTCTTTTGATGTCATCCTCACCTCTCCTGCCCTCTGGTGTTAGAGCAGTGAGTTGCCTGTCTGTCTCTGGCTACCTGTTTTCTGTATTTACTTTATTCTAATGAGGTAAGGAGCTGCCCTGCCAGCCCCAAGGGCACACAGTTAGAATTTACCAATGGAGAAAGATGAGCAATCTCCTCTCATGCAACTTACTGCCTCTGAAAACCCACATGGTACATAGAGCAATGAGGAAGAAGATGAGCCATCTCCTCTGATGCTGTTTTACAGCCTCAGAAACCCACCGGAGGGGCAGCTATTAGTCAGATCCGACTCTATGGCAGAATTTGAGTTTTGAGTTTGAATTCAGAAGGGATTCTCCTATTCAGATTTCTAATCTCGGAAACCCAGTGGAGGGTGCTTATGACTTGAAACTGACTAGAAGGCAGTGAGTTTCTGAGTCGAAGATGCTCTTAGTGACCTCAGGTCTGGAGGATGATTCTTGCTCTCATTCTGAGAGATGTGTTAGGTGAAAGCATAAATGATTTGAAACTTCTTCATGGTAGGGACAGCACCAGTGATTAATCAGAGCGAAAATATTGTGCCATGTATGTAGCAAAGACTCCTTATCACTACTTAGAGACCTCAGCCCAATTAGCTGCTGATGTTTCCCATTTCTCCTTGTCCTTGGTTCGTAGAAAGAAAAGTTTCAAGATGATTCGGTCGCAGTCCCTGTCTCTGCAGATGCCAGCCCAGCAAGATTGGACAGGCCCTCCAGCAGCCAGTCCAGCTATGTCCCCCACGACCCCTGTGGTCGTTGGACCAACTTCCCAGCCCACACCGGCACCCTATGCTATGCCCGAGTTCCAGCGGGTCACCATCAGTGGAGATTACTGTGCGGGGGTAAGGTGTCTCCCCACTTCCTGGTGACTCCTGCAGGGGCCTGTGTGAGTGTGGTGTGTGTTTTGTATGCAGAGACCAGGGGCCTCTCAAGTCATTAGAAGCCTGGCCCTGTCTCATGGGTATTGGGGAGGGAGGTACTGGAGGCCAGAGAGGAGTGTCTTAGAGGAGGTTGTGGGAATGGATGTGTCTAGGAGAACATACCCATGTCCTGGTGTCCCAGTGATGTAGAACCAGGGCTATAGGCTGACACTCTTCTATGCTATTCTGTGAATGCTGTCCTTTGTCCCTATAACTCATTAAGAAAGGTACCAGCTTGATCCCTTTACTACTTCCAAATATTTAATGGAGTCAAAGACTTGGTTTGTTTGAAATAGGTGAAAGGTTATTGCTGATTCAATTTTTCTCACCCACTTACCTTCAGAAAGGGTTGTGTTTTAGCTGTACCTTGAGGTTCCCTTTATTCCTTTTATAAAAACGTTTATTTCCTTTATAAAAGCTCTGAGGGAAGAGAAGAAGTCTTTGCTTATGGAACATGGCGCTTCTTCTGTTAAGGGTGATGGAAGAGCAATCTCCTCCTGTACCAGTCAGACCTGATTTGATGGTACACACACAAAAATAATAAAATAAAATGAAAAAAAGTTTTTAAAAAAGGGTAATGGAAAGTTCCGAACACAGATAATGTTAGTGGGTGCAAATATGGATGTAATTAATGACACTAAATGGAACGTGGGAAAAATGCTAAAATGGCAAATATTTTGTGTACATATACATACGTCTATGCTTACATATACATACGTCTATACTTACTGTTATGTGCCAGTGAGTCTGACCCGACTCATAACTGATCCTCCAGTGGGTTTTCAGAGGCAGTATATCACACAGGAGCAGATTGCCCATTTTTCTCTCTTGGAACAGCTTTTGGGTTGGCAGTGCAACTCTTTACCCACTAGGCCACCAGAGCTCCCTAATACTATAAAAAAAAGTCTGAAACAATAATAAGAAGCACTAATCTTAAATTTAGAAGATAGGTACATGGGTGTCTATTATACCATCTTTAGTTGTGATCTGTATGTCTAAAATATTTGAAAACAAAACATGACATTTTAATCATGAGAGCAAAGGAGGGACATTCCAGGCCTTTGTCTCCCACTCTCCTCTCTCTGCCATGTCCTGTGTCCCCTGCTGTCACTGCTTGGCTGGCATCTCCTCAGGAACATCAGCTTTCTAAGAGACTCATCCCTCCCAGACGGAGATGAATGAGCTCCCTGAAAGTGGGAGCTTACCTCCTTCCTCAAATAGGTGGCAGTTTGGGGAAGTAGTCTGTCCATGGACTTGGGAAATAAAGTAACTCAGACCCTGGATTTGACTTTGTGATTTCCTGATAAGTTATTGAGTCTCTTTGGATCTCAGTTTTCTTCTTTGTAAAATGGGTTACAGGGAAGTAAAAAAAAAAAAAAGATTTATGGAAAAAAACTGGCACATAGAATATGTCAGTAGGTTTTAGTGACTGGGTGAATTGGGGTGACTGCCTGGATTTAATCAGAAGACTGGGATTGGCAAAACATTAACCATATTGTTTACACAAACACTTGAGGTATAGTGAACACTTCTTATCTGTTAGGTGTGGTGGGAACCTCCTGAAATCCTAGTTCCTGGGCAAGGGTCAAACCTTGCAATAATTTTTAAAACATCTTTTATTGTGGTTTTTGGGAAAGTTTACAGGGGAAATCAGTTTTGCATTCAACAGTTTATAGGCATTTTGTTTCCCAACATTGCTTGCAACTACCCCAATGTGCTATCACCCTTCCTTGTTCCTCCTTGTGTTACTGTTTCCATCCGTCCTTATGCTAGGTCTTTCTACAGAGAGAAGTGTCAGGCCTACTGTGGTAACTCTTTTATGGATACCTCCTTCCTGCAGATCACTGTGGAGGACTATGAACAGGCCGCCAAGAGCCTGGCCAAGGCCCTGATGATCCGGGAGAAGTATGCCCGGCTCGCCTACCACCGCTTCCCTCGGACCACAGCTCAATACCTGGGTCATCAACGAGCCTCTTTGGAAGAAGGCCTCCCAGGTACGGTGCTGTGACCAGTGGAGGGGTTCTGAATGCAGGCATGATCCAAGCATTGGTCCCAACTCTGCTGGCTCGATGCATTTCCCCAGATGATGGTCTAAAGGCAGGACCCGAGTATTAACTTCTACAATGATATGGGCTGCTTTCTCCAAAGATCAGGGCTTTTCTTTGCACTATAGGCCTAGTCCTGTATAGAGCTGAGTGTTAGATGTTAATAGAAAAAGAGGGATGGAAGTCAGTCTCTGATATTGGGGAGAGAAACAATCTTGTGTGGAATATTAAACAATACTATCAGACAAGCCAGCACTTGCTGAGTTGGTGGTGGGGTGCGATGGCGGTAGATCTGAAGACATGTTCTACAACAGGGAAAAAGGTCTTGGACTAAAACATCCCTGCATTTAGATCTTGATTTTGCCACTTTCTTGGACCCTTAGGCAAGATATTGTTCCAGCTCAGTTTCCAGTCTATCAAGTGGGGCTACTAACATTGTCTAGTCCCTGGAACTGTTGTGGGGGTTAAGTGAGAGGGTGCCCATGAAGTCCAGTGAGCAACCTTGAGGCTGCTTTTAGGCTGTGGAGTTCAGGAAAGGGGCAACAGGGATGTGAGTACATCCGGCCTGTGTAAGGGTCTGGGAGCATCAAAGGATGTAGGGTAAATAATACAAGGGAAATAGGAAGCCTCCCTCTTGTAAGTTAGTTGCTGTTGTTGTTCATTGCCATTGAGTCGAGTATGACTCATAGTGATGCCATGAACAAAAGGCTTGAAGCCTTTCTACAACCATCACCATTTATCAAAGTTCACGGTTTCCAGAGGCATGCTGTGTAGAAAACAGATGCCACTCCTGCTTCCAAACCTGTCTTAAACTGAGAGCTTTATCAAACGTTGTCCACCATATGTAACTGTTATGGCATTTGACACCCCAGTGGCACAAGGTTCAGCATCACAGCAACCCCAGGTTACCTCAGTACAGCATATTGACAGAACAGTGCTGTACCATTTAGAAGAATGTTCCTCCAAAATATAATAACAATCGGCTTTTAAATACAAAGGCCTTAGTGGGGAGCTAGTGAGGCCCTGGTGCTCTGTGCTAATGCCTGGGACTCTGGCTGTGCCTGGATAGTCTGACCAAGTTGGCTTCTTGCCTACTGTCTCCTTGAAGCTCCAAGGCCTGCCTATGAGCATTTGTTACCACCTCTCAGCCACTCTCAGCCCTTCTGGTCTCTTTACCGTGTCTGCTGGAAGGAAGTTGATCCCACCTCTCCTTGGCATAGGCAAGAACAGGCAGCAGTAAAGCCTGACACAAACTCTAGAATGGTATTTTATCACCAGGAGCCTGGCAGCACCGTGATTAAGCACTCAGCTCTTAATGGAAAGATCAGCAGTACGATCCACAAACTGCTCTGCAGAGGAAAGATGTGGCAACTTGCTTCTGTGAAGCCTTCGAAACCCTAGAAGGCAATTGTCTTGAACTGATTCAACAGCGGTGGGGTTTTGGGGTTTTTTTTAAAAGAATCATGAGTTGGAAGCCACTTGATAGCAATGGATTTGCTTTTTGCCATATATATTACTATCATATACTACGATAATCTATTTTCTTGATAAATTCTCTCTCTGGCCAAAAAATGAGTTGAAGCTAAGCAGCACTAGAACGAGAGGTTTCAGCTCTCTGCATATTGGCCAAGCCCACCCAGTATGCAGCTGCTGAGCTGCCACCAGCCCAGGCTGGAGCAAACGCTGGGCTTTGTGTACGGACGTTCCGCTCCTCAACGAGCCCTGCCAGGCAGTAGGTGTTATCTTTGCATGAGGATATCAAATCAGAGAGGTTGTGTGATTTGTCCAAAGTCTCACAGGCTGGAAATAGCCAATTTCTGCCCCATGTGGGCTAATTCAATCCACAGTCATGAAAAACACACTACACTCTCATTGCTGTTCTATGCTTTGTAGGAGAGAGAACTCAATAAAACCCTCAAACTCATTGCCATGGAGTTGGAACTGACTCATAGCCGACCATCTAGTAAATTATCAGAGGCTATGAACTGTGTAGGAATAGATTGCCCACATTTCTCCCATGGAGCAGCTGATGGATCCAAACCGCCTGCCTTTGGGATGGTGGTGACTCCTTTCTCACAAGGCCACCAGAGCTCCCTGTTAGAGAGAGAATCCCTATTTTATGAGTAGCTGGAGGCTTCTCCTCTAGCTCATAGACTGCTCTGGGCTTGGAAAGATGTGAGGGAACGGGGTGGTTTCCCACTGGACAGTCCCAGGTGCTGTCTGTTCTCTTAGTGGGAGTATAGCATCTTGAGGGCCCAAAAGCACCATGGAAGCTGAAACCCACTGCTTTCAGATAACTTCCAAATCACAGTGACCCTCCATCAGTTTTGGAAGCTGTAAATCTTTACAGGACAAGACTACTCATCTTTCTTCCATAGCCTTGAACTGCCAACCTTTTGGTTGACAGGCTGATGCATCATTGTACACTATGTCACCAGGGCTCCTTGGAAACTGAAAGTAATTTCTATTAAATTTAAAAGAAAACCTCAACAAACCAAACTTAGTGAAGTGTCAGTCATGTACTAGGAATTAGTCACATGCCAAAACACACATGATGAATTAATAAATTGACATAATGTTAAACACCCACGAGAAACTGTAAAGCTGAGAAGGGCGACGTGTCTCACTGATCAGTGAAGCTGGTTGGATTTTAGAGAGCGTGGCCAGGATGTGACTTGTGGATCTCTTGAGGTCAAGGGTACTTTGTCATCACTCAATCCTGTTTTGCAGACTTCCACCCTCCCCCCAAACCCCAAGAAGACCCTTACTGCCTGGATGATGCACCCCCCAACCTGGATTACCTGGTCCGCATGCAAGGGGGCATCCTCTTCGTGTATGACAACAAGAAGATGCTGGAACGCCAGGAGCCCCACAGCCTGCCATACCCTGACCTGGAGACCTACACAGTGGACATGAGCCACATCCTGGCGCTCATCACCGACGGCCCCACGTAAGTCTCCTCCCCAGGCCCATCTCTCTTGGGATGGATTCTCCTCTGTTGCTGGAAAAGGCTAAGTAGGTCACTCTGCACTGGGCTTTCCTACACATAAGTCATCTCTGAAGGTGTAACCTTCCCTCTCCTTAGTGCTGTGGGGGTTTCTGTAATGATTTCCCTTTGCTCTCTCTCCCTGCTTCTCCTGGGCAACTTGCCATTTTTCAACAACCTGCCACCTTTCAGCCCTGGGAAGAGTAGGCCGGAAGGAGAGGAGCTGACGTGTTTAGAGTTGTTACTAGCTGACAGGTTTGCACACATAAGCATAGAGTTTGCTAGTGGTCCCTGTATACCTTAAGATGACAGTCACCTGCTCCCCAGGAGGGGTGACAGCTTTGCTGAGTTACCAGCCTAGGGCACTGCTGGAGATGGTGGAGGATTGAAGACAGTTGCTTCACATGTTGGGTTTTCCACATTTCTAAAAGGGAGAGTGGCAGGGAGATTGGGAACTTTGTGTCACAATACCCTCTGTGTTGCTTCATGAGCTTGGCTTTGAGATAACCTAGCAGGTCACTGTCTTTCTGAATTTGAGCCCTCTCTCTTTGGACTCTGCTGGCCTGTGGTAAGGGCTTGTGCTGCCAACCCAACAGCATGAATCCACCAGCTGTTTTGAGGGAGAAAGAGAACAATCTCCCATGTGACTCACTGTCTCTGAAAAGCCGCTGGAGGTTGGCTATGAGGAAGTTCTAACTTGACGGTACACAACAACAACAATAACTTTTTGATGAGCACTTTTTTGGTGAGCACTGTCTAGTCTGTCATGGCAGTTCAGAGTTTCCTCAGTACAAGAGCCTTGTAGGAGCCATGCTGGAGCGCCCCAGCAGAAGTGAGGGGCTGCAGGGGGTGAGGGGGGAAAAGCCCCTGAGTTCAGCTGTTCACTGAAAAGTTGGCAGTTTGAGTCCACTCAGAGGTGCCTCAGAAGAAAGGCCTGGCAATCGACTTCTGAAAAAACCAGCCACTGACCCTCCTGTGGAGCACAATTTGACTCTGACACACAAAGGGTAGACACAAGCAAAGATTGACTTCTGGAAACTCGGGAAGGAGAAGGTGCCAGTCAGAGCTCAGGAACCTCTTTTCTGCTCCTGCCTTTTGGGATTTGCTTGGAATGGACAAAGTGCTAGTGTCTAAGGGTGGGGAGCAGAGTGAGTTCAGACATGATCTAGGCATTTGGCTCTGGACTCACTGACTGCAGGGTAGAACCAAGGCGTGGAGAGGACAGGCCAGCCCCTGGAAGGCACAGCCAGTGTGAGGAGAACCTTTTAGGGCAACCCAGAGACAGCAGGGACATGGAGGAAAATGGACATTCTGGGAGATGTCTGGGCAGTGGCTGTCCCTTACAGTCTCCTTTTGGCATGTGTCTTGGCACACAGATGATTGTACTGTCCACTGGGCCAGCAGGCACTTTTTTTTTAAGAACAGAGGACTAAATGTGAGGGGAGCAGCAGTTTGAGGGCACAGGGAAGCAGAAAGGCCTGAACTGTGATTGAAAGTTCCTGGTGGTGTGGATGTGAGCATGTGTAAAAAGAGGAAGGGCCCTGTGGGGATGGACATTCTGACCTTTACCAATTTCACAAAGGGGAACTGTCCCCATCAACAACATCGACATCACAAAACCAGTTCTCATGAGGTCAGACTTGTCCCCCGTGCTTCCACATCCCTTTCTATTCGCCCCAACCACAATCTTACTACTTTACTGGCTCCAAAATTCAGTGTGAACTCACAGATTACACAGAACCATATTGGGGAAGTAAAAAAGCCATAATCAGGTTATTGTGGTTGCTGTTGTTGATTGCCTTTGAGTCGAGCACAACTCACAGCGACCCTATGAGCAAAAGGCCTGAAGCCCCTCTACAGCTATCAACATTTATCAAAGTTCATAGTTTCCGGAGACATGCTATTTAGGAAGTGGATGCCATTCCTGCTCCAAAACAATCAGGTTATTAGCAGAATACAATCAACTTCTGAAATGTACTTGCAGCCGCCTCAGCCTTGAGCCTTGTGGCTTTAGGTCAGTGTTACAGAGTCCTTAGTCCTGCTGATTATGGCTGTCCTCCCTTCCCCCACCTCAGGGCCTCCACCAAACTTGAGCTAAAGGCTCTTAGTTCTGGTTCCACGCAGGGTAGCATTCCTAAGGTGTGCTCTGTCTCCTGTCGGCTTCTGGTTCTCTGCTGTGGCCCTTATGACAGCTGCTCCTGGAGGCTCTGGTCTGATTTTCTCAAGAATATCTGTTCCTGAAGATTGAGTGGCATTCTCTTGCTTGCTCTTTTCTGGTGGTGAGGTTCCTCCTGCTGTGTCGTGGATCCCTTCCATGTAATGGTGAGACTAGCTCTTCCCCTTGTGGATTGGTGAGAGAGAAAGACAGAGAGAGAGAGAGAGAGAGAGAGACAGACCAATCCCCTTGTGGATAGACTAATACGTCCTGTTAGCTTATTTACGCCCATCCACATGGGAAAGTAAAATTCAATGGCTAGGAAAGCCATTTAGAACACTTCACACCACAGGATGTCAGCCACGATCAATGTGTGGCCCCCCACGCCCACCCCTTTCTGGGAGAACCTCTCCTTGTCCTTAAGTTCCTGAGGCCCTCAGTCTGACAGAGAGTTCTGTCCAAATAACAAACACTCCTGTATTCCTAATCCATGAAACAAAACAGCCTACTCTTAACTAAGTAGAGAATGCCTCAAATCTTGGCTTTGGAGGAGGTCAAGAGGAGGGTACCCTTTCACTCCACATGGGGCAGATTAACTATGTTATTGATCTAGGCAGAAAAGTTCAACTCCTGTCAAGGAATTAGAGGTAATTGCAGATAGGTGGGACCACTGTTGTTGTTAAGTGCCTTTGAAAACCGACTCACAGCTAGCTGCCCCTCCTGTAGGTTTTCTAAGGCTGTAAATCACATGGGAGAGTTCCCTTCCTCTTGCAAAGCAGGTGGTGGATTCAAACCACTTGCCTTTGGGTTGGTGGTACAACTCTTTGCCCAGTAGGCCACCAGAGACTAGACAGGATCGCTGGGTGGTACAGATGGTTAATGTGTTTGGCTGCAAGCTGAAAGGTGAGAGGTTAGAGTTCACCCAGAGGCTTCTCCACAGAAAGACCTGGAGCACTACTGAAAAATCACCCATTAAAACTCCAGATCACAGTTCTCTGAGACACATGAGATCACTGTGAGTTGAAATTGACTAGACAGAGGGGGCTGATTGAGGAAAGGAGTAAGGAAGGGGAGGGAGACTTATTGAGCATTTCGTTCAGACACAGGAAGCAATTTAACTTCACTTTCATCTTGGGCATTACCATCTCCATGTTCACTCAGCAGAGGTCTGTGCAGATAAAATGGGAAATGGAAGAACCTGTATTCAGTTCCAGAGTCCGCTTTCTGCCACTCCATATGTTAATGCTTTACTTAATTTATGGAGTACTCAAATATGGTTATATAATTAACTGAGATATTAGAAAGAGAGAAACCCCTCTACCCTCCCCAGGTCACGCTGCCTGAGTCCTCCACCACAGTGTCTGTCACTGCAGGTCTCCAAGCGAGAGAGCTTGACTGCAGCTTCTCATGTACGGTTTCTCCCCTTTCTCTCAACCTGCAGGAAAACGTATTGTCACCGGCGACTGAACTTTTTGGAATCCAAGTTCAGCCTTCATGAGATGTTAAATGAAATGTCTGAATTCAAAGAGTTGAAGAGTAACCCCCACCGAGACTTCTATAACGTGAGAAAGGTGCGTGAGTGGGCCAGTGTTCAGAACCAAGCCTGCCTGTCCCTCCCAGCCTCCTGAGAGGCCCAGAGCCCTGTCCCTGTGATAATCAGGGTCTCCAGCTGAGGGAGGTCAGCTGTGTTGTTCAGGAAGAAGACTGGAGACATGGATTCCTTGCCTCAAGTAGTGGCTGACACAGTGCTTGATATCTCCATAAATGAAGCCTCTGTCCAGGTTGTGTGTCTGTTAGGATGTGTCCTTTCCCTTGGGGGACAGGACATGGCTTTGTAAAGTTCCAGAGTGTCTGGCACGAACTCCTATTTTGATGGGTTAAGAAAAGAGAGGCTGGTTTCAGTTAATGAGTATGAGGAGCCTGGGGAAGTATCTTGAGAATTTCTAGGTAGACACTACCTAAGTGGACAGCCTGGAGTTTTAACCTTCAACACCACTTGTTCTAATCAGGTGGATGCTGTAATCATCTCTTTGCTATACACCATTTAGTTGGAACCAACTCATAGCTGACTGTCCAGCTGGTTTTGAACCTCATGCTTTTGAGGTTGCAGCATATCACGAAGGCCACCAGAGTTCCAGTGGGGTTTAAGAGACAGTAAATCACATGGGAGGAGACTGTCTGTCTTTTTCCATGGAGCACCTGGTAGATTCGAACCATGTGCCTTTGACAGTGCAATTCCTTACCATTATACCATAGTCATCTCTTAACCCTGATCAGAGGGTATCCCACATGTCAAGTGCAGTCCCAAATGGGTGTTCCAGGAAGGTCCTCTCCCAGCCTGTGCAGCCCGGTCCCCTCATGTATGGCGTGTGCCTGAGTGCTTCCTGCCACCTGGGCAGAGCTGTCCTCTATTATTGCACTGACTCTCACTCCCACGTCACATCTGTTTGTTTTTGAGGTGCAACCCCAGCAGGTGTACCTGGGCCAATCATCTGTTCTCTGGCTGGAACGTGGCAAATAATCCTGATGGGGGATTCTGAGGCTTCCTGATGCCTCTCCTTGGGGTTCTCTGTACCCCTGAGAGTAAATATAATCTACACAGAGATGGCCTTGATTGATGTCTTGGGAACTAGAGGCTGTGGTTCTAGAACCAATGTGACCTCTTTTCTGCCTCTTGCTTCATTCCACAGAGATCGTCCCAGGTCTGCTCAGAGCTGGTCCTGAGTCTTCTGTTCCTGGGTGACGATGAAGCCTGCTTCCTGGGTGCTAGCTGCTTCACTTACCACCCAAGTCTGTGCTGTGGTGGAGAACTGACTTCCTTTTAGGAATGGGTACAATGGACTGGCAGAGCTGCTTCTGTGTGTCTCAGGTGCCTGCCAGTGTCACTGGGACAGGCTTGTTTGTGCTCTGAGGGCGGGAGCTGTGGCCATAGATGTTTGTGGTCGATGTTTGTTGAATTGTCTGCATCATCAGAGCAGATGAGGGATTATGACACGTTTAGTTTCAACCAGCAGGATTGTGTCAATGGGTCTTTCTTTTTATCTGCTCGGAGCTAAGCACAAGGGGTTGAGTGTATTTGCTGTTTGGTTAGAATTAGGCCTTTTCCACTTTGCTTTAAGTAGTCATATCAGGAATAACAGATATGTTATCTTCTTTGCCAAATGGATTGATTGCAAGTGACTTGTTGAGACTACTTTTGAAGCTTAGTGACAAGGATTTCAGCAGTCTATTATTGATGGCTGCTCTGGGTGTGGATGTGGACTAAGTTGGCATTGGCCATCCCTGCTTAGAAACTCTGTAATTTGTTTTGTTTAAACCTGGATCTAATTGAGATCAGGGAATTAACTTAGATTTTCTGGTGAAATGAAAACACTGACATCCAAATCTCTTTAACTTGTTCCTAAAATAGTCACTTTTTGGTGTTCTGAACTTTGGATTGGATGCTTCCTGAACTTGTTGAACTGAACAGCTTGTTCAGTTGTTTTTTGTGAGTCATGGAGGGAAGGACTGGCTGGACCTCTGTGTTGTTTGCTAGGTAAGCTGGAAGACACAACCACAGACGCAGAATGTCCTGAGTCATGCTGAGATAGTTGAGCCCAGCTGTATTCAGCTGATCTAAGCCAGGCTGACCCTTTCTTGGGGGTCTCCATGAGCCCAGTCTAGTACCTAAGCTGTATAAGCACTGGGGTGCTTTGGATGTCAAAACAGCTCAAAGAAGTTTCATTTCTATAATGTCCAGGGGTCTGTCTTCCTGCTATGAGTGGCAAGATACATGGCACAAAGAGTCCTGGTGAGTGAGTGAATGAGGTGGCCGGTGACATGGTCTGTAGATCAGATGTCTGGTTTGGCGTGACTTGGAGATGCCTGGCCAGCCATAAACAGCATTCGCTGGTCTGAGGTCAGCCCGCCTCCTCATCACAGCCTTGGCAGTGTGCCCAGTTGGCCACAGCAGTGACCGCAGAGTGCAGTCTGTCAGCAGATAGTAGTACTCAGCTTGTGAGGTTGCTGTCACTCTCACCAGGGCCTCCTTTCAGCCCACCTCTCAGATCAGCCAGGGCTTCATTTCTTTAAAGATAGTGGCTAAGGGGAGTGTGTGGCATATTCAAGCAACTGAAAGCAATTCTGTGAGCAGAGCACAGTAGAAAGGGGAGAATGGAGATGAGGGATGTGGGAAAATGGTAGGGGACAGGTCGTTTGAGCAGAGACCTCTTCTTTAGATTGATGTAACATATTTCATAACACAATAAAATTGTATTTTTTTTTTAAAAAGAAATTCTAGATTCTCTAGTGTAGAGAATGGATTGGATGAGAAGAAAATGGCAAGACCAGTTAGGAGGAGATCGTTGTCTTTATTCAGGCGTGAGAGCTGAAGGCTTAGCTTCCTATGCCAGCAGTGAGGTTAGAGAACATTGCAGGTGCTTGAGACGTAGTTAGAAAGTAGACTTGACTGGACTAGTTGACTGTTGGGGACGCGTAGGCCCAGGACAACTCCTAGATGTCCTGCTTGAAAAATGTTCTCAGACCTGGAAGACCACCAGGCTCGGGCTGAGGTGGACTTTCCAGAGACAGAAAGTCAGCTTTTGGCATTAAAGCTGAGGTGCCTTTCAAGTGGAGGTGTCAAGTAAGTAGTTATGTACACTTCCGGGGCTGATGGCCGGCAATATTGATTGACAACTTGCTGGCGTAAAGAGACTATCTATGGGCCTGGCAATGGGTCACATCACCTCTGGAGAGAGCATATGTTGTTGTTGCTGTTAAGTGCTGTCAAGTCGTAGGCAACTCATAGCGACCCTATGAATGAAAGACCTGAACGCTTGTATAACTTTCATTGTTTCTCCAAGTTCATAGGGTTTCTGGAGGCAAACTATTTAAGGAAGTGGATGCCACTCCTGCTTCCAAGCTTGTTTTAATCTGGGAGCTCCACCCAACACTGTCCACCATGGGTAACCATTATCACATTAGACTCATCAGTGTCACAGTGTTCAGCCTCACAGCAGGCATGAGTTACCTCTGTACAGTAAATGGACAGACCAGTGCTATGCCACTTAGAAGAATGTTTGACCAAAAACAATTAAAACTAGGCCTAAGGGCTGCAGATTAAAATCTCCTACCTTTGGCTTGGTAGCATCACTTTCTGTCCACTAGGCCAACAGAGTTCTCTCTATGTTGTTGTTATTGTTAAGTGAGCATATAGTGTGGAGAGAGCATATAGTGAGAAGAAAAGTGACCAGGCCTGAAGAAATGTCAGTGTTGAGAGGTGTGGCATCCAGGATGAATCTTCAGAAGAGTTTAAAAGAGACAGACCAGAAAGGCAAGAGACAGACAGGGACAACCTGGTGTCATAGAAGCATCTGTGAACTAAACTTAAGTCTCATAAAGTTTTTGGGACCCCTTTTTATCCCTTCTGAAAGAGAAACGCCTTTCCATGGAATGTGGGGAGAGGTCTAAGGTCTCTGTGTATTTCTTTTTTTTTTTT